CCTCTCCATTGGCCATTAGGGATTGTCGAAGAAGTTTTTCCCGGTTCCGACGGGGTAATTAGGGTAGCTCGCGTTAGGACCATGACTGGGTCTTACATGCGTCCTGTTGTACGTTTGTGCCCTTTGCCCCTTCAATAGTTTAAATTAGCTTTCTAGATTAGAAATTGTAGTCGAAAATTAGGTTTAGTTAAGACTAGCGTTAGTTATTTTGAAGGGGACCCTTCAAGCCGGGGGGGATGGTTGCGCGGAAAACCATTCGTATTTTAATTTTATTCGAGGGTATGCTTGCCAAGCCTTGTCCTTTCCTTATCCTATCGTCCCTCCGTACACACCGGGGTGGTGAGGTGAGAGGGGAAAGAAGAGATTCTAGAATGTTGCGTGATTCTCGCAACCAATGAGAAGCGCGCCCGACCGAGATGCATTGATAGGAGGGCCGAAGCAATATAAGCTCGCGCGCTGCCCTCGAGTGCTCTCTTGCCTTCGCGTCGCTAGTCAGAACCGCACCTGGAGCAGTCGAGCTCCAGAAGTAACCGCCTCACATAGTGTGAGATATCGTCGCGTACCGCTCTTTTCCATCGCACCACCGACCAGGACCGCATCCCTGGGGCCCCAGGAGATCCGCCAGAAGTCGCACCGCAGCAACAGAAGCATCCAAGCCGCATCATAGTCACACCCCGTTAAGTGTGTTTCGTTTTTCCTATAACTCAATGCCTGCTTGAGTATTTGTTTGTTAGTTAACCCGCCCCATTTCATTCCTCCTAATGTGCTCAAGCAGGATTCCTTCATAACCTTGGCAAACAAGATTTCGGAAGAGCGAGTGCATTGTCAAGGAACCGCGTGACACCTCTGCCATCTTGTTGAGGCAGAAGAAGCTTACCGCGTATACAGCCCATCTAGTATAAAATCTCGCGTAATAGGGTCAAGGCTCGACCGGGGAATCGGACTCGGCATCCCTAAGGCCCGCTGCCCAACCATATAAAACGAGTACACAGTCTACCTGATGGTAAATGGATACTGTGGTCCATAAATATCTATATTTATCCTCAATAAAGAATCAAAATACAGATACGTTGTCACCCTTGAAGAATGAGATGGAATGTCTCTTTTCTAGTAAAATGGGCCTCCGGTTCTCTACACTCATCATACGAAACTCAGCAGCGTTAAGCTGCTGTTTCACGCTGGTACCGTATTCGGTGAGAGCGTGGTCACCATTAATGGAAATTTATAGAAAATATAAAAATATTCTAAAATATTTTTAAAATAAAAATTAAGAAATATTCTAAAAAATGAGAACATTAATGGAAATTTCCATTCTTTTGATCTGCTTGTGACGTAGGCAATGGTCGTATTAAAACGACAGTCGCGCTAGACTTACTAGAGAAAAATGTGTTGCAAACATAGGCGTCTAGGGATGGGAACTAACGTCAAATGTTGTCATTATACAAAGAGCCTGAGGGATATTTTTCTTATAAATAATAAGGAAAAGAATTAATAACACAAGGTAATATGTTAAATAAACTTTATTTCGTATGACACTGTTTATTTTATGCTAACGTGACCATACGTCCCACTTTAGGCGAGACGGTTTAGATTTAAAGGTTTGTTTGTTGTTGTCTGTCCCCAAAATACGTAAAAAAGTCCCGCTTTGACAAATAAAAGCGTAGCATCATGCAAACTGTCACCCGTGCCATCATTATGTCACCGCGCGTACTAGGTTTGCCAGCATGGCCTGACTAGTTACGTGATTATTCTGAGAAGCTACACTTTTTAACTTAAGTTACGAAGTGAAAATTTTTAATTAATCTATAATAAATGATCAAATAACAGTTATTTCTAATTAGTATTTATTATATTATAATATGCTGTTCAGAAAAAAATAAAAATCTAGCAGCCAGATTTTATATGATTCTAAGTTCTCATTCTCACTCGATCATTAAAAGATTCAAACAACTATGCGTTTCATTTTTAAAACTATAACGGCTTTCGGAGACACGGGGGTGAAACCCACGGTTCGAAATCAATATTCTGGGCTGCTACTTAGTATTTTGTGACAAAAAAAAACCCAATAAATGACTCTTAGCCCGACTCGGGTCTTGAACCTGGGACCACATGATCAGCAATTGCGTTTACAATAGTTAGACCAAGAAGACACTCAAAAGAGTTAAAACTTTAATAATTTTAAAGGTGTCCCGCTCTGAGGAAAAAAATAAATGGTCACTTTAATTATACCTGATTATTTAACTGTTTGTTATTTCGTTCATATATATGCGACGCGTGCGATAGACACCGAAGGAAAGTCTTAGCTGCCAATTAAATAAAACCAAAGGTTAATACTGTTATAAGCAATTTTACGAGGGGCACACTGAAATGATAGGGGGAAAAAAACCACATGCACGGTATAGCTAAATTGTATTTTATTGTTTTCCGAAGTATTCTCCGTTCAACTTAATGCACTTTTTAATCTGCAAAAATTCGATTTGTGCACTTCCACAGCTGCTTCGGGGTCTTCAAACTGTTGACCGCGTAGTAAATCTTTCATTCTTGGGAATGTAAAGAAATCGTTTGGGCTCAGGTCAGGACTGTACGGAGGATGGCTCATCAGCTCAACGTTTTCCTGCTTCAAAAAATCATTTGTCTTCCGAGCCGTATGGGAGCTCGCATTATCGTGATGTAAGATGATGCGACGTTTCGGGTTATTTTTTCGGAGTTCGGCTATCATTTCTGGCAAACAAACCGTGATATACCACTCAGCGGTAACCGTTCTGCGTTCCTGTAAAGGAATTGTAGCAACATGTCCCTTTTTCGAGACAAACGTAGCGACCATTTTCTTTGACACGCTGCGGGAGCGAACTTTCGTTGGTTTGACCTCGTCTTCGAAGACCCAAACTGCTTTTCTTTTATGTTCGTATGAATAAATCCATGATTTATTCAGAGCATTTAACTTCCCTCCGTTGGAGCATTGCAGAGTATTCCGGTACCAATATACACGAGCCGCCTTTTGCTCTTCGGGCAAATTGTGGGGAACCCAGCGAGAAACTAGCTTTCTTACAGTTGCAGTCATTCCGATACCGATAACAGCCCGAATCTGCTCGTATGTCACATGACGGTCATCTAATATAATAGTTCGCACAGCTGCGATGTTTTCAGGCGTGACCGCTGTTCTTAGTCGACCTGCAGAAGAAACAGTGCTGAGCGACACACGATGGCGTCGGAACTCGGCATACCAGCGGTATATTATCTCTAAGTTTAACTCGGTGCTTCAACATCATAAATCGAAACAAGTTCGCTGAGACATTATTTAAGATAAGCCGCGACGAAAATTGTGATTAAATTACGGCACGGAAACGTTCATGCGTGAGCTCCATTTCTGTTAAGGACATGTCGACCAGTAATCTATGATGTCAACTTTAAAATAATTTTTGTTTTTAAACATTTTTTAATTGTTCGAATGTCATTAAGATTCTTAAGAGGCCAGTATTCAAATTCTAAAAAAGGTTTTATTGTAATTTTTTTTGCCTGTTGTATCTTTTGAGGAGGGAATTTTGTGGAAACCCACGACAGTAAACAGCTTCAAAGGTGCAAAATGTCTTGCACTGTATCGCGAATTTCAATGTCTAGAATAATAATAAATTCGTCCTTTTAGGAGATGCACATTATTCTGCAGTTAACTGTTCATCTTTTGATGAGATATATTTTAACCAATATATATTTTTTTTTAGGATATGCGAAAGGCTACAATCTTCTTCACAAAAATGAGTCTGGTCTAAGCTATATGCCAGAAGGCATGGAAAATGTGAATTTTTTAAAATTTGAATAAAAACACATCACAACCAAGGCTTGATTTCTTGTTTGCCAGGGAGAAGACTTACAATTTTATTTTAGATTGAAGAAAATTTTATCTAATCAATGATTCTATGAAAAATTAGTGATGATTCACGAAGTGAGATGTTTGTCAATTTTATTATTTAGTGAAAATCGCATTTGTGGTTGCAAAAATGTTATTAAATTATTACCTTAAAAACTATGTTTACTTTTGTTTAAAATAAAAAATGAAGATAATCCTAGTGTCAATTTTTTTATTTGGGATAATCTCGTTTTACAACTGTATGACATGGTAAAAATTTACTATTTACAAGGCTTCACACATTACTTTAACATTACAAATTTACCTATAACATTGTACCATTTGCTGTCAGCATTCGCCACAAATTTCGATCGTATGTATATAAAAATAAAATGACAATGATTTACTTTACAACATTTACTACTTGCACATTGTGCACAATTAATTACTCAAGAAGTCATCCTTACAATGTCCTAAAGACTTCACATGATGACAGGTGACAAGTATGTATATTACATGAACAACATATTTTTTTGTTTATTTCCGATCATCAATTTGCTAAAAGGTAGTAGGTATCTCATGATATTAAAGAAACGAATAGCTTATATACAAATTTTAAGTAATGACAGTGAGTACATTAACATACTTTGTATTTCACGGCATTTATCATTTGTTATGATGATAAAAATGTAGTTTACATAAATATGTGTTTTCTTATGTCAAATAAATTCATTCCTTTCCACTATTTCTATGTTCATACAATTTACAGAAATTAAGATGCAGTTCGATACTGAAATGGTGGAAGTTTTTTGACAAGATTGCACTTCTGCACATACTTATACTACAATATTATGTCTAACTTAACTAAACTACGAGCAAATTCGAAACTAATATTATAAAAGATAAATTAGAATCAGACTTCTAATTTGAATCCTAATCACGGGAGGAACAACAATAAATTACAGTAATGCTGTTAATTGGTTTTTAAATTTTGAATTAATCTACTAGCTTACACACATGCTTTCAAATTTAAACCTGGTCATAAGTTCATAAAATAATAAATAAGTATTATGTAAACACATAAAAAATTTATAAAGTGGAACGTTTGCAGATATAACAAAAAATATAGTGTATTAGCCAATGCTAAAAATGTAACTTAAAAGATATATTCGGGACCGGCCATATCAATAGCCCAACGGAACTTATCACGCTGTGTTTTATTGTAGATTTTTTCAATGGGGACACCATGCTTTTTGCACCTGAAATTTACATTAGATTAATATTTATCTTTTTCTAACACTATACACAAGACATTTTATTGTATTTAACAAAAGTTACATACCAAGCCACTGAGATACGAGGGTCAAGATAGTTGAGCTTGGAAGTACCTAGTGAAATAGTTTTATTTTCGTCACGATCGGTTTCTTGTAGTTCCAATTTCTTTAATTGCTCTCTCAGTCTCTCTAAAGCCTTTTTCTTTTTATCACATGCAATTTTCTCTTTTACAGACCCACGTTTAGCAGCCTTTGTAGCTTCTCTTAAGTCCTCTTCTGCCTCATCGACTTGATCTCGTTTGGCTTGTATTTTTTCTTTTAGAGCTTCCATTGATTTTGAATGACCTTAAAACACAAAATAACGGTTTTAAACTAAGATAAAAAACCTTTAATATTGCATTAAATATAAATAATATAAAAATGAATTACCTTTAGGTACAGCACGTTGGTGATTACAAAGCACAGCAACTGCTCTATTTGCTCTATTATATGCCAGAATCTTTTCAGGTATGGAGGCATCAGGATCAGTAAGCTCATCTAACTGTCTTTGTAAGGTAATAGAAGCATTGTAAGTACGAAAGACTTTAGCCGTTAATCCTGGCATCAGATCTTTCAAATGTTCATTGAGTGTTTGGGTATTAAGTCTATCGAACAAGTCATCACTATCTTTTTTATTCTCCATAAAGAGCTCGAGATTCTTAAAAACTCTTTTTTCTACTGGCACTTCATTGTAATATCTAATAGAATCTTTACCAAGGAAATCAAATACAACTACATACTCCTTACCATCCTTCTCTTTGTGTAATTGAATATGTTCAACTCTTAAGGAACAACAACCTACTGTATCAGCTTGATCATCATCTTTTTCATTACCAGCTCTTAATGCAAGCCTATCAATAAAATACAAGGCAACTGCACGCTGCCGAACACGCATTTCCTTTGCTTTCCAGTCACTGCGATATGTATCCCGAATTTTATCAATGCTTTTATGAAGCTTTCTAGCAGTTTCATACTTTTGCCAGTCTTTTTCACCTTTTAACTTTGAACTGGGATTCAACATAACATACTTTACTTGTCCCTGAACATTTTCAGTCCAAGATGCCAACCAAGTAACAGTATTGTCATGTCGCACTTCCTTCCATTTGTGTCCAGGGGGAGCTTTAGGTATTTTACTGTCTTTTGAACAGTTTATCAAAACATCTTCAGGCATAACACGTTTTTTCAACATGCCCATTTTAGGATGTTCACCACGACCCCTAAACAGCCCTGGGGGTTCTATCCTAAAGTTTCCAATTTTTTCTTTATGTCCATCTATTGTACAAAATCCATACTCTTTTTGTATTTCTTCATTTTTGGCCTTTAATGCAGCTTTTTCCTCCTTTGTACGATTTCTATTTTTCTCTGCCACACTGGCAAAATATGCACCCATTTCTTTAAAATCACATTTTGAGAGATCCTTAATTAGTTTAGCTTCTTCATGTGTCATAACTTTACGCCAATCGGCAAAAAAGTTGTTATTGAAAGTAGCTTTGGTAGTGTAGTCATGATCCAACATACGAGCATAAAATCCGGCTACTTCTTCAGCACCTTGAGATAATTTGACAATTTTTCCATCATATCGAAATTTGACATTTTCTGGTAAAGGTTCATAGTCTGGCGCAAATAAAGGTCCTTTATGTTCTAAGAAAGTCCACTTTGTTCCATCATCCTTCTTTTCTTCTTCCCACCTATAAACAAATATAAATGACATTAATTTAGCCAATTTTAAGAAAAACATTTAATATATAATAAAATAAGTTTACTTTATTATTTCCGAAAATTTAAATTGTTTAAATATTAACAAATTTCGAGAACCAATGCTAACAGTTGTTCTTATTCGAAATAATTTGATGCCTAATGTAACAAACATTTTATTTCATGAATACAACATAACCTTTATACATTATGTCACTTACGGCTTTTGATTAGATTTTTTTTAAATCATTCAAAGGCAAAGGGATCTATACCCATACAGCCTTGTTTAACAAGTATTTTATTTTAACTTTTTTTACAAGACTGATTCGTCACATTACGAATAATTAGATTTTGATTAATAGCATAACCTAGCAGATAGCCGATGATTTTTTAATAGAATAAGGTGACAAACGAGCACACACTACTAGTAAATATATGCTCAAAGAATACTATAATACACAATAGAATGGCTATCAACTTTATTTTATACGAGGCTTGACGTCGCCAAACCCAATTCGCTGTGTTGATAGACTAAATAAATTTACACATTTTAGACTTGATTAACCCTTAAGTGCATATTGTATCAAAAATGATACGATGAGATTATCGATTCATAATTTTGTTAAACTACGTACACACAACTATGCTGTATGTTAAATATGTCCTATGCCTAATCATCTTTTAGAATGTTTAAGTAATCGATGACCATTTCCTAAATAATTTGGCGGTAACTATGAAAACTTTTTTCCTGTCTGTCATAACCTTTTTCGTGGGATTATAAATTTTTATTGATTTATTTTGGAGTGATTTTAACACAAAAGCTGACCCGGAAAAATATTAAAAATACAGGTTAGAGTATTGTTTCACTGTTAAACACATATTTCAAGTGAATTTTACCGGCGTTTGATAAAAAAAATGATAATTTTAGTTGTATCAAAAATGATACATTATGCAGTTAGTAGGTCCCGTTTGTACATTTTCGCTAGTATAGTAGGCTTGTATGATATGTGATTGTTATATGTTTTTCCTCACTTTTGGAGCATGGAAAAAAGAAAAATAGATAATGAGATTGAAGACCTTTTAGCAATATTGGAAGGTGGATTTTTATCGGAGGAGAAAGCAGAGTCTGATGATTATGAATTAGATTATCACCCAAATATTGATGAAATTCGTGCTGCTTTAGTAAATCACGGGGAAGAACAAATGGGTTACGGTGATTTCCATAAGCCTCAAATCCGGGACGAAGATGTACCACCTCTTGTAAATGACGAAAATTATTTGCGAAATGATGATAATCCTCCCTTAGTGAATGAAGGTAGTGGTTTTGCACAAAATATTCCCAACAGGTGTCATATTACGATTGAAACTGCTAGACTCAAATGGAGGAAACATTCCTCAGAGTTTTGGGAAGATAGCATTCGTTTTCAGAACGAGACAAAATATTTTCTCTAAGTTATAGCCCTAGAAAGTCCATATCAATTTTTCAGTTATTTTTTTTACTCCTGATTTTTTAGATAAGATTGTAAAAGGTCTAATCGATATTCAATCCAAAAAAATCCCGACCGACCAGATCCAATCACAAAATCAAAGTTACAATAGTACTTGATGGGAATTAATATCTATGTCAGTTTTTCATCATCCAAATATAGGAGCTTACTGGAATAAAAAATACGGAATTATGCCAATTATACAGAGTATGACATTATATAGATTTGAAAAAAATTTGATATATATTACATTTTAACAACTTCAAACATCTGCCTATAGACAACCCCAACCACGATAAACTACACAAGCTGCGACCTGAGGTAGAACATCTGAATGAGAGTTTCCAGCATTCATATAGACCAAAGGCTTTCCACAGATGAACACATAAAAATGTGTGCAACGAAAATGGGCCACTTCCTAAAACAATATCTCCCAAATAAACCTCACAAATGGGGGGTTTAAACTTTATATGCTATATTCTCTGGTAGGGTATGCATACAAAATTATAATTTATACAGGAAAAGATAATGAACCTATGATGGAAAACGAACCATATCTGGGAGTGGTTGGGAACACTGTTGTAAAATTGTTGAGGATTATCCCACGCAAAGTAAACCACATTGTTTACTTTCACAATTTCCACACCTCTTTATCTCATATGTATTACTTAGCTAAGAAAGGGATATTATGTCTGGGAACTATTCAACATAATCGGTTAGGTAGGAAAGTTACTTAACTTACCGTACAAAAAATGACGTTAATGCATAATGTATCAAAAATGATACAAACTTTTTTTTATTAAAATTACTTTAAAAAAATGAAAATAATTTTTTTTCTTCATTTTTCCCAAATTCAAGACCTAAACATCTAAATTATATGTTTAAATTAGTTAAAACAAAAAGTTCATGCACTTAAGGGTTAATGTTCAAGATCAGCATTAAATTTTAATACATATATATATTTGTAAATAGGGTGCAATTTGGCATTTTTTTAATAATTTGCATGCGAAATTTGGAAACGATTGTAACGTCAAAACACATCTCATGTAGACATTTATACGTGTGATTTTTTATACGGGGAGTGGGCGGAGCCCGCGTAGCCACATTTTAGTGGCTATGCGGGCTCCGCCCCCTCCCCCGTTCTATTATGTATGTATTACAGTATTCTATGTGTATGCTAATGCTGTAGCCTATTGACACCTACATCTAGCCTCAATAATAATAATAATTGAGCTGATCCTTTTGTGCTACAACTATAATATACCTGCAGCATTGCTCTGCCACGTTTAAAATAACATGAGGCGTCAAAATCTTCACATAACTTAGGTATCCATTATTATATATTCTACGTTATTTCTTCAGTTTTTGGTTTCTTCAGATTTTACCCAGTGAAATTGTCATTTTACTGGGTAAAATCTGAAGTAATAATAATAATAATCAAGTAGTAGTCTGATTTTGAGACCTACCCTTCAATTTGTCATTACCCATTTAGGCACTATGAGATAAACATGAAGAATGGATTTTGTTAACAAACTATATAATATATAAATTATTTTGTACCAACTAACGCCAAAGGCAAGTCACAAACTTTCAAATTAATGCTGATTATACCAAATAGTTTTCAATGAATTGGAAGTAACCTTAAACAAATTGAAAAATTTTATTTTTACTTTTCGGCGTATCTCGTTGAGATCAATGCGATAAAACGTGGCGCCGTAAGAACCGTAGTTGTGCCTATATTAGAAAATAGTAATCATAAATAATTTAATAACTATACACTTCTTAAAATGCATTTGTTTACTGATTGAAAAGAAGATTTTACATTAAAAATTGCAATATAAAACAGATATGTTGTTTGATCAATGACATTTGACATAATAATTTCGAGGTTGTTGAAAAGAACTAAAGAAACTCAAACAAATTAAACACATTCACTACTAATACCTAAAGCAACAGTTCATTTATAGCTGACACACCATATTGATATTGATAGTTTACTAAATAATAATTGATTGATAAATAATTTTCATCCACAAACCACAGCCATACTGCAGCTAGTGTTCTTGGTACTATACTGCAGGGTGCAGGGAAGGACTGTATGATAAATAAGTTTTTAGTTTCATTTATTATTGTGATAAATATTGTACATATTTGATTAAGTAAATATTAGAATATACCACAAAGTATATTCTCATACAAATTATTTGTTAACTTTTTTAATTTATATGGATCTTCCAGTTTTCTGAGATAGTGTAGCATAGACCTGGCTCATTTTGAAACATCTAATTAAAATATTCAGAATGATTGCAACATTGTTTCTAAAATTTTGACTAAACTTTTAACTGACAATTGAAACAGTCCTTCAGCGAAATAAAATAAGTTACCATTTCCACACTTCTTGTTCTTCCTCCTGCTTTTTTTTACGCTTTGTTGGGCTAGGACCATCATCTGATTCAGTTTTGATTTTCACAGGTCTAGTCTTTTCAACCTTCTTTTTTTTCTTTTTTGGAACATCATCATCATCCTCCATGTCATCATCATAATTTGTTTCTGTAAGTAAATTAAATTGCAATAAAAAAGGATCATGATATATCTTAACTATTTTGGCTGGCAAATATCAGTGTTTACACTGCTGTATTCCGATCTGGGTGTGCAGAGACAGTATATGAGTAATTACTGGTTGTGAGGCAGTAATTACTTGTTTCCTGAGCAGCAAAATCTTAGTATTTAGAGGTGACAATGCATTTGAAGCCTTCTTTGTTTGGAGGTGTTCATGGACTGCAGTAACCAACCATCAGATGGACTTTGTTTTTTCCCATTGATGAAATGATCATGACTGTTTTAAGAGAAGACTATGGATACCACAAACATAAATCCACCTACCAAGCACGAAAATTAAAGCTCCTACTCCCTATCTTCCTACAATGTGGTGGCCCACGTCCAACAGTCCAACATATACAAAATTTGACATACACAAAGTTCAAAAACTTTATTAAATTAAGGTTGTATAAAAAGGGTTATTATAATATTAAGGAATTCATGGATGATAATAACCCCTGGGTAGGGTCGCTACCAAGCTATTTCTAATTTGTTTTGGGTTGTTAATTGTAATATACATAATTGTAAGCTATTATTTGAAAAAAATAGTCCCACTGGGTTTCTTGCTCGTTCTTCCCAGGACAGAGGCTTTTTTTTGGAAAACCAGTAGTAAATGAAAAAAGTGACTTTCAATAAGTATTGTTTATAAATCCATATTGAATAAAAATGTTCCTGTTTCGGTTTCTGTTATATTAGTACCTTCTGTGCCTAGCAGCTTGTCTGGGTTAGTACTAATATCTTATCCACTTCCAAGCAGGAGTTCACACACTACTGTGTTCCAATCTGATGGGCGGAAGATCTAATGCAATTACAGGTTGTGAAGCATTTTATTTTAAACATCACAGATGACACCATAGCTTCGGCCTTTTTTATTTGAAGTGGGTTGTAAGTCCACAGACTGCAGTATCAACTTACCATCAGGTGGACTTCAGCTAAGTTTTTACTTATTAGAAAGACAACCATCATTCACTGACCTTTAGGAACCCTTATGCTAAGGATACAAAAATGATACCAGGATGTCAAACAGACAGTCCACCCGTGACCTTAAAACACCCGAAACATCGGAATTTTGCAAAGTTAGAATTAAGTTATTCAGTCTCAACTTTTGATTTAAGTAGTTTTTGCTGGCATTACTGAATTATCATTTTAAATGCTGATGTCCACATGCTCAATGGTGAAAGAAAGCATTATCAGATACATTAATCAGGACATATGAAATCCACCAAACAAACCACTGGAGCAGAACAGTGACCAACTGTTGCATAATTGTCTCATAAATGAGAGAGAAGACTTTCTCCCAGCAGCTCAATATATTAAAGCATTACATATTATGTTTGCAAAATAGAGCATGAAAATATTATGAATCAAAGATGCTTAAAGCAATTTAAAGAATACAAACCCTTTTTCACTTTCTTTTTTGATTTTTTGCGCTGGAGTAAAGGAGTATCCTCTTCACTGTCACTTGCAGCACGTTTTTTTGCAGCCATTCGCTCTAACTTTACAAAAATAATGTAACAAATTAAATATGCTTAAGAACAAGTTAATATATATTATTGTACAATTTTTTCTAGTAAATATAATATTTAAATTTAATAATATCAAATTAAATTTAAAAGTAGTTTAGTAATTAAATTTAATATAATTAATAGCCTAACTGTAAAAAGCAATCACTGACACAACAATTATTCCTCTTTGAATTATAGTACAATGGTGAACTAAATTATTACAATATTTTAGAAAACACATACCAATGGAGTATCCTCTTCACTATCTTCCTCTAGGGGCAATTCTGAAAGGGGTTCATCCTTAAACTGTGACAAAGAATAGTCACATGATGAGGCAGTTGTATTCGCCCCAGTAAAACCATCTTCACTTTCTTCTTTTATTTCCCTTTTCACTTCTGGTTCATCAACCTGCATTCAAAAGTAGTATGTTGGTAATGTAAGAATACCTATACAAATAAAGAAAACTGAAGGGTCTGTTTATAATGTCAAAATAACAGCTTTTTACTAAATGCATATGAAATGATATACAGTACTAATAACAAAATATCAATTTTTCAAAATGTTTGTCTGTCTGTTAGTTCTGGCTAATCTCTGAAACGACTAGACCGATTTTTATGAGACTTTCACTGACATATTGCTGTTGTTATACTTAGGCTTTATTAGAAAATAGGGTCCCACCCAGAAATATTTAAACCATGAAATCCAATCATAACAAACACAAAATCACGGGGAACAGTTAGTCTTAAGTAAAAATACAAAATTTAATTTAGTTATATGTTATATATAAATAATTTAGTGCATGTGTTCTTGTGTTGATGATAATTTTTTTGAACAACTTTTGATGGCATATCAGTATATATGTCGCAGGTATATTGTCAAAACTGTGATATTACAATTATACTAGTGATATTATAATTGAATGATAGATTGTTAATCGACTTCATTTCTTACAATTTAACAGGCCCGGTCGACGGGGCTTCTACTTCTAAGTGTTTTATAAAAAAATAAATCTCCTTCTAACCTAACCAGTCTGTGTCGAGATGCCCTAAGTTCTGAGCTCGCTTTGCTAAAAAATTAATAAATAAACATTATTATGTGACTATTATGGGATTGCGAAAGTATAAAATTACCTTTTTAAATTGTAAGAAATGAAGTCGATTGATAATCTACCGTTCAATTATAATATCACTAGTGAAATTGTAATACCACAGCTTTGACAATATGCCTCTATATAATGTACATATATGTATTTGTTTATTTATATATACAAATATAAATAATAATTATAATATTATTTATATTTGTGGAGATGTGTAGATTAAATAATGAAAGCAATGAAAAGCTTGAAAGCAGGTAAGGCAGCTGGATATGATAGAGTATCACTCGAGATGCTAAGGGCTGGAGAGGAGTGGTGGCAGGCCTGTTGTATACCTTGTTTAATTTATGTTGGGAATTAAAACGGGTACCGGGTGACTGGTGTAAAGCAGTTACAGTACCAATATATAAAGGAAAAGGGTCACAGCAGGACTACAAAAGCTACCCTGGTATCAGCTTGCTTAGTATTGTGTGTAAACTGTATGCTAAGATGTTAATTGAAAGAGTTATGAAAGAAACTGATGGTAAAATTTGGGATGTGCAAGCGGGTTTTAGAAAGGGAATGGGGTGTACAGATCAAGTCTTTTCTAAGTATGCAAGATGATGTTGTGACCAGGATTAAGAAAGGAATGCTTCGGTGGTTTGATCATGTAGAAAGAATGAATGAGGAAAGAGTGACAAAGCAAATTTATATGGCAGATGTGAATGGCAGAGTCGGGAAGGGACGCCCTAGAAGAAAGTTTATCGACCAAATTGGCGATATTTTGAAAATGGGCCACGTTAGAAGTACCCTTAACTGATGAGCATGTATACGTAGATATATGGATGTAAAGAAGGCGAAAGAGGTATGTCAGGATCGTGCCAAATGGAAGTCCGTAGTCTCTGCCTACCCCTCTGGGTGACAGGTGTGAGTGTTACAAATATATACGTACAGAACAACCTTAATATAACAAATCTGAAGGGGATTGCAAGGTAAGCCACAAAAAAAGTATAATGCATTGTAATGAATGCCTTACATTACTAAACATTAATTTATTATGACAGTGAATTCCTGAATTGTCTTACTATAAATTAGATGTGCCTGAAGAACCTGTCGAGATATGAATTCTTGTTAGATGGATTGGTAGAAAACTTTATGCAGAGGTTAATTTTACTTTATATTTTTGCAATGATAGAAAAATTGTTATAAAGAGGTTTTTACAAAAGTTATTTGCAGTGTATAAGGTATATTTTGTATTAACTCTTCACTTCTTCAAATTTGTAGCAACCCCCTAGAAGGGTTTCTACAATTTTTTTTAAATTGAGGTAATTGTTGTACTGTATTATATAAAAAAAAATATATAAAACAATAAGTGAAAAACAAACACACAGTCTATCTAAAAGGAGTGGATGCTGAGGCCCACAAATATCTATCCTCAATTTAGAATCAAACTAATAATGCATTGTTCCCCCTGAAGACTAAGATGGAATACCTTGTTTCAAGTAGTCTCTGGTTCTCTACACTCACCATATGAAACACAACAGCATTAAGCTGGTATTCTGTTAGTGTGGTCCTTTCTTGATTGAGCCGACCCATTTGTGCTAACAACAATAATATAGCTACAGAATAGCTCTACCAATTGTGGTAAATTGTGCAACTTGATAAGTAAATCTTTTCATATATACTATTTGTTTGAGAAAATATTAGATACAGTGTAGCATAAATAAATCTAAGTATATGTAACACAGGTTACAAAAAGTGGCTGGGTAATTAATTCTATAGGAGTCAACAAAGGAATTTAATATTACATAGAAATATCTACCTGCATAGGCTGTTCTTTCACAACACACTCTTGATAATCTGATTCTGATTTAATTTTGTCCAGACGATCAGAAGAACCCTTTTCCTTATTCTTAGAGCTAAGTGTAAAAAATAATATATTAAGTGATTAAAGTATCATTGTATTTAAGTAATGTAATGAAAGTTATGATAATAATGAGCAACCTGTGTCTGTCTTTAGAGCTGGAGTGTTTATCGCTACGATGCTTATCACTTCTGTGGTGGTCTTTTTCTCGATCCCTATCTCTGTCCTTGGACTTATATTCCTTATCTTTTGATGAGGAGCTTTTATGTTCTCTGTCCTTATCTTTGTCCTTTGAAGATGACTTTTTCTCTGCATCATTATTACTATGCTTGTGTTTATCTCTATCTCCCTTTTCCTTGTCACTCTTTTCTCTATGTTTCTCTTTGTCACTTCTGTGTTTATCTTTATCACTACGATCCCTCTCTTTGTCTGAGCGTTCTTTACTTTTTTCACTGCGATCTTTATGATCTCCACGTTCCTTATCTTTGCTTGAGGATTTGTGAGAACTGCTATGACTTTTGCTACTTGAATGTTTTTCCTTATCCTTATCCCTGAAAGAGAATTTGTTATTACACATGGAGTTATAATAATAAAATGACAAAAGTTATGAAAAATATTGAAAATTAATGAAATAAGACAATTTCGGAATGTTAACCTGCTTGAGCTGCTGCTATGTTTGGACGAGCTTTTGTGGTCACGGTCTTTGTCGCGGTGCTTGTCTTTGCTCGAAGATTTGTGACTGCTTTTGCTCTTATGTTTTTCAGAACTGCTGTATCCGTTGTGGACGCCGTTCACGTGTTCACTTTTATTACCGTTTACCTTACCCTGCGAGAAAAATAGTTGCAATGACAACGTATTACAAAATAAAAGATTTTGTAATGTAATACAACATTATTTTTATAAAGGTAAAATTTATAAATTTTCCCATGATTTAATGAACATATTACATTTAAAAATTCTACCAGCCGACTGACGCTTCTATATGACTAGGGAATCGTTGACGCCATATTGAGACTTAGAAAATTTTCGCTTCGAATCACTACTGAACATCAGTAAACAAGGAAATTCATAGATTATTACACAGTATTATATACATAAAATGAAACTTTGAGAAAATTTGGGTTAATATGGCTACTTACTGCATCACAATCATTATCACTGGTTGGATTTTCAACACTCATTTTGCCCACGTATTGCCCCTTGTTCGAGATTACATGAGGTCGGGGGCCGGTCGTGCGAACAGCGAACGTAAATTCTAAGTGCCATAGATAATACCTATAACCTATATACCAGCTAAGTGCCGTAATGTGACGAATGCGCATGCGTCGCCAGTGCTACTAGCTCCAAAAAATATTTACCCCTAAAGGTTAAGTAAAAACCCCTAAAATCACCTTATATATTGTAAATCCCCTAAATATAAATACGATGCTACGTAATGTTCTTTATATATAAAATTATTGAATACCTATCTAAAATACTCATACATTTGGATATTAATTAAACATACATTTTAGTATGTGAAATAAGAATAGAAGGAGAGTTAATTGAGAAAGTGGATGAGTTCGTGTATTTGGGATGTGTATTTAGCAGGGATGGTAGATAGAATAAGGATATAGAATGACGAGTAAATGCAGGGAATAGAGTGAATGGGGCACTACACTCTATTATGAAGAATCAGACTGTATCAAAACGGCATGTATGGTAATTCATAATGCTGTGTGGTCCCTACTTTAATGTATGCCAGTGAAAGTTAGGTATGGCAGAAGAAGCACGAAAGTAGAATAAATGCTGTAGAAATGCGGTCTTTAAGGAGAATGTTAGGGTTGAATCTGAATGACAGGGTGAGAAATTGCGTGATAAGAGACAAATGCAAAATGATGTTGTGACCAGGATTAAGAAAGGAATGCTTCAGTGGTTTGGGCATGTAGAAAGAATGAATGAGGAAAGAGTGACAAAGCAAATTTATATGGCAGATGTGAATGGCAGAGTCGGGAAGGGACGTCCTAGAAGAAAGTTTATCGACCACATTGGCGATTTTTTGAAAATGGGCCACATTAGAAGTATCCTTCACCGACGAGCATGTATGCGTGAAAATATGGATATAAAGGAAGCGAAAGAGGTATGTCAGGATCGTGCTAAATGGAAGTCCGTAGTCTCTGCCTACCCCTCTGGGTGACAGTCGTGAGTGTTTATGTTATGTCACATTTTAGGTAATGAATTCAATATTATAAATTTTGCACTATTTTTTGTATTGTGAAATAGAAAGTAGCATTTAAAGAGAAAACAAGAAATTGCTACCGTGATAATTAATGTAAATCATACATATAACCCGAATTTTTTGACATTTCCAAAAAGTATATATAACCAGCTGCACCGTAATCGTATTAACTTCTAAGCAAAAATAAGCTAAAGTGAAAAAAATATAAAAGCCTCCTAAAAAAATCCCAACACACTTATTTACCTCCTATATTAAAGGGTAAAACACTTAAGTTGGGAACCCTGAAACTAAACAGCTTCGCTTGATGTGATGTAGATAATAAACAACTACAGGTGAATTCGGTGTTGCCACTTGCCGGCTTTGCTAGATTAAAAGTATCGTTGCGTGTGTATGAAAAGATACAGTTTTGAAGTAAAAGTTACGAAATGATGATACTTTATTTGATCCTCTTGGTGGAGAGATATGATACTTTGTCCAAGGTAGATGGTAATAAGATACGTTACGCTGCATTTCACGAAAGTCTCGCAACGACCCACCTTGAACCTCCTACTGCAACCCTCCCCCACCCCATGGAAACATTTTATAAAAATTGAAAAATAATTTTTCAGAGTTATAGCTAAGAAACGCATTCAGTAACATCCCACTAATTCCCCCCGCTCCTAGGACGCTAAGAATGGTTTTAAAATTCTTTTTCTGGAGCATCGCTGGCCACTGATGCGGCACGCTTTGCAGATGGGTTAACAACCTCCGTTCGTCAAAATTTACAACACCAAATATAAAAAATTTGAATACCAATGCATCTTTAAATTGGGAAGAATTGAGCCCTAAAGGTTCCATAGAAGTTTTGCGTCGAGAGTGATGCTTGGCTCCCATACATCTAAGTTAACAAATAGAACTACAGTCTGCAGCTTATGCTGAAAATGCTTAGTGTCGCGATAGCTAGATCAGTTTATTTCAATTATTTCGATCTCATAATGTCTTATGGAATTTTGCTTCAGGGAAATGTGGCTGATTAAAAAAAAACTGAAACTAAAAAACTATTTTTGTTTTGCAGAAGAGGTCCAGAACACCAGGAACAAACACTAGCTAGTAATATGTAGCAGTTTCTCTACTGCATAGAGTTAGTTATTCTTTCATGGGACAATGTATATGATATTACAACAAAGTCTCAGAAAAATATACGATCTCTTTATTACCAAGTTCAAATATTTTATTAAACAAACACTGTATAAAAAGAGTTCTTATAATACAGTACAACCTTAGTATAAGGAACCTCAATATAACGATCTCCTCGATTTAACAAATTTCTAGAAATCCTTTAGAACCGGTGGTAAAAGTTTATACAAAATACACATTATGTGTCTATCAGAAAGCACATCATCGCTTATGAAGAAGAAGCAGTGTGCAGTCACCTTTTTATTGATACTACCGTCTATTGTAGATCAATCAATAGATACCCTCAACACTTGAGAATCTTGTTGTTTACGAACTGTCACCGCAAGGAGGGGAACGTCGTGTTACATTAGTGTTTTGCATAGACGTATATAAAACATATGTTTTAATACGTCTATGGTGTTTTGTGCCTGTTAGTGTCATTATATGTATAAAAGGCGTTCTACACGGTCGGGGCCAACCACCCACCGTCGTGACCTTGGTCGAGTTGATGTAAAAATGGACAGTGTAGACATCAGTAGTCTGACCAATATTTTGTTTGATGTCCGACGGCCTTTGTCGCGAGCGCATCCCTCACGACATGTTGGGTCCGTGGTTGACCCCGACCGTGTGGAAAGCTGTCAGCCAACGGTAGCGCCTCAGTGCGCGCTTGGCAGTCGTTACGGCAGAACGTTTAACGGCACTATGGATACGAACGGAAGCAAGGAACGTGAGGTTCTGAACGAAATTTTGTCTTTTTATTGTGATTTATCATGTCTTTTGGGATATTGGAGTTACATAAGAATAGGAACAAAAAAATGCAAGCATGAGGCAAACATCGCTGCAACTAAGAAAAAGATTGAGCATATGCGTTCGGCTTTTAAGAGAGAGTACAAAAATGGTTTTTTTTTAATACCTACTACTATACTATTTGTTTCAAATAAAGAAATTTATCGTGATAAAATTATAGCAATTTTCGCCAGTTAATATCGTTCGTTGCCAATTATTTTATTCTTTAATTTAATTTCACAGACAAATGAAGCATTAGTTTACTTCCATTTTTAATGTAGGTAATAATTTTAGTAGAAATAACTGACAAGTTGAATCAACCACGCGACCGTGTATAACGAATATAAAAAACTCAATCAAGGTCACGACAGTGGGTGGTTGGCCCCTACCGTGTAGAACGCCTTTTATACACGTAATGACACTAACAGGCACAAAACACCATAGACGTATTAAAACATATGTTTTATATACGTCTATGCAAAACCCTAATGTAACACGACGTTCCCCTCCTTGCGGTGACAGTTCATAAACAACATCAAGATTCTCAAGTGTTGAGGGTATCTATTGATTGATCTACAATAGACGGTAGTATCAATAAAAAGGTGAGTGCACACTGCTTCTTCTTCATAAGCGATGCTGTGTTTTCTGATAGACACATAATGTATATTTTGTATAAACTTTTACCGCCGGTTCTAGAGGATTTCTAAAAATTTGTTAAATCGAGGAGATCGTTAAATTGAGGTTCCTTATACTAAGGTTGTACTGTATTATAATAACTCTTTTTATACAGTGTTTGTTTAATAAAATATTTGAACTTGGTAATAAAGGGATCGTATATTTTTCTGAGACTTTGTTGTAATATCGTATACATTGTCCCATGAAAGAATAATTAACTCTATGCAGTAGAGAAACTGCTACATATTACTAGCTAGTGTTTGTTCCTGGTGTTCTGGACCTCTTCTTCAAAACAAAAATAGTTTTTTTAGTTTCAGTTTTTTTTTTAATCAGCCACTAAGAAAAAGATTGAGCATATGCGTTCGGCTTTTAAGAGAGAGTACAAAAAAGGGGATTTTTTTTAATACCTACTACTATACTATTTGTTTCAAATAAAGAAATTTATCGTGATAAAATTATAGCAATTTTCGCCAGTTAATATCGTTCGTTGCCTATTATTTTATTCTTTAATTTAATTTCACAGACAAATGAAGCATTAGTTTACTTCCATTTTTAATGTAGGTAATAATTTTAGTAGAAACAACTGACAAGTTGAATCAACCACGCGACCGTGTACAACGAATACAAAAAACTCAATCAAGGTCACGACGGTTGGTGGTTGGTCCCGACCGTGTATAATGCCTTTTACTCGCTGCCATGTTAAATGACCTTTAAGTTGCGTAGCAAAAATACTACAGTTTTATTCGAAATTAGTGGTAACGCTGATTCCCCGCAGCATGTTAGGGAAAAGGATGTGAACGTTACGGATACGATTGCACCAGTAATTGTGTTATATTTTTTTACTTATTTTATTCATATCTTGTGACATTGAGCTGGCGACCCAGCAAGTTACAACAGAAAAAAGGCATACTAATGATAAGGGTAAAATTAAAGGAGAAGAATCCGATCCCTTTATTTTTAAAGCCAAACCCCAACTATTCTTAATTTCTTTAAAAGTAAGTGACTTTATCCACTGTGTAGGGACACCCAAAATTTTGAATGAAGGTATTTAATTGAGATTTGTTGAATAAGACAATTTCGGATTGAGGAATATTTCTCAGGGCTAACTAAAAAAATTTTTAGGCACTTCTTTAATTAATTTCTCCCTTCTAGTTTCAATGCATTCAGCTCTTGTTTTCCTCTCTCCGGCTTCCGCAAACCAAGTTACTCCTAAAAATCTCTGGTCTGTAGCAACCTAGAATATGCTTCCATAGCGTGGAGTCGATTTTATGCTATATTACACTCTGAGCATATTGAGCATACTTGTTATTGTTAATGTTGAGATGAACATGTAGATAGGTGTTCTTT